GTGTGTGTGTAAAATATAATATATATGTTTATTAGATAACACATAAATATATGCAATGTATTTTATATATAACATAATAACATGTTTATTTTTTCCCTTCTTTCTTGTCTTTTTGGTGATGTCCTGTAAAATAGTGACGTTTGACTCTTCCACCACCATCTCGCCACTTTCAGGGAAAGGCGAAGGGAATTGCACAGATGACAATCCTGTACCTTGATATTTACCCTTACCCCATCCTGCAACTGCTTGCTTTTAAGCTTCTTAGAGCTAATGAGATAACTAAGCTAAATGAGATAACTAATTGCCTTTTATTTATTTTTAGCTGGGAGTTATGCTGTTTGTGGGGAAAAATTACCCTGATGAATCCATGTCTTAAGCCCCAGTCCTTATCACTGCCTTCTGATCTCAGCAGTTGATATCATTTCCTACTTGACTGACAAGCCCTAAACTATCCACACAGCTGGGTGGATAGTGGCACATCTGGGTGTGCCACAGATGGCACAGCTGGGTCATCTCCCATTCTATTCTTTCTTTCTCCTATTTAATAGAAGGGAGTGCTTTTTCTTAGCAAAATTAACTGGTTTATCTGTTAGAGTCCATCAGCTTGTTCCTGATCTAAGACATGGTTCTACCAATTCCTTTATTTCACCTGAGACTTTCATCTTTTTGTTTTGTCTCCTCCTCTTCCCACTAGTGTGGGCGGGATTTCCATCTTAGGGTTATGGGGAAGACCAGACAGACCCATGACACTCAGCACTGTGCATATGAGATCAACTGTGTATTAGTCACATACATTCACAGCCCAGGGAAAGAGGATATCACGTGCCACCCATGGCCATGTAGTGATTACACTGAGGGATATTATAAACAACCAGAGGCTGTGGGAGGTTAGTGGGGCTTTGTAGCATCAAAGGGGTGAGGTACCCTCTGGTTCCTGTAGGAGCAATGTGATTGGCTTGATATTTCTGTGGACTGGCAAGATACCGAAGCCTGCTACTTAGGGATAAGTAGGAAGTATCCCAGGTCCCTGTGATATGGAGGGTCGTTTGGGGAATCTTGTCCAGAAAACAAATATGAACATGTGGACTTTAAATTCTAGGCAGATATGGTTATAAACTTACCATATACTATTCATATATTTTAAAACTTGTTCTTTTTCAACTCGATGAATACTTTTCTGTTCTTTGAAGCAGAGCTGCAATTGCTTTTGCACCGATCTAATATATATTGACAGTATGTGATTTGTGACTGTAATGTCTTTACCCAAAGGCCACATGTTAGATGTTTAATTTGGGATGAGATGCTGCTGTTATATTTTTTTGCTGAATATTCTTACGGTTGCATATTTGCACATACACATGATATTTTTTCTTTTGGATAAATTCTAGGAAACAAATTGTGTCAAAGAGTTTAGAAAAAGCATTAACCATCTGCTTTCAATTGTCAAACAAAAAGTTCTGATTTATGCTCTTTAACATATTACAGAGTTCACATTTCCATGTATTTTTGATAACATCTATTCTATTTTAATTAACTCCAATGGGATAAGTTAAAATTGTCCCTCTTGTTTAAAAAGCCTTGTTTTCCCACACGTTTACTGGTTATTTATGTTTATTTTTTCATAAACTAAGTATAACCATTTTCTATTTTCCTATGTAAAGTTCATACAATTTTAGGATGAGCATGTAATTCTTTTCTAATAGAAATAATTTTCAAAATGACCCTGTAACCTATTTAGCGATAAAATATTGCTGGATGTGCTATTTTTAATTAAAATTACCTAGTTTTTAGTAAGAGGCCCTTTACCTCTAAATATCCAGGGCTTCTTTATCTTAAGGCAATTTTCTTCCTTCCTTTATTATGCCTTCTCAGTTCACTGTTTTGAAATTCCTCTTACAATGATGTTGGACCTCCCCATTCTGTTACCTGTATTTCTGGTTGTTTCTTAACACAAATTTATTGTCTTATTCTGATTTTTCTAGGTGACTTCTTAAAATTGTACTCTACTTAAAAAAATTCAGCAGTTCACTGCCTCTACTGCATTTCTCTGTTTAGTAATCACGTCCTTATTTTCTATTGTGACTTTCCTCCTCCTCTTCTAATACCATAGCTGCAATACTCTCTCAGCTTTATTTGAAAGTTCAAGATTTTCTAAAGTCCTCTTCTGATTCTTTCAGCAGCTATGTTTCATAAGATACACTTTTACCTATATTGATGCTTCTGTTCACTGCTGTGGTACTAACAGATTATGTTTTTCTATTTTATTTTGTAATTTCAATACCTTTGATCCAAAATATTTTCCTATTTTAGACAGTCAAAATGGGTGCTTTTAGAAATATATCTTTTGGGTCTCTATTTTAGTTAATAAAACTCTGCAGGAGGTGAAAAAATTAGGTTTGTTAAGATGTTACTATGCCAGATCATATATCCGGGACTTTGGGTGAAAATAATAGGCAGTATTCTGTACAGTAAAATTTGCTTCTGTGCTAAAAACTTTCTTTTACATAGTTATGATGGCTTGAGTATAACTTAGCCAGTGATTGTAAGGGTTATTGCTGAGTTTAAAATGAGGAAACTGAAGCCAGTATAAGAAAATTAAATGCCAATTTATTCAGCTCCCGGGCGAGGTTCTATGATCCAGGGAAAGGGGGCCAGAGAAGTCACGTTGACTTCCCAGGGCATGAGGGTTTTATGGCTATGAGGAAGGAGCAACAGCTGGGTGATGATTGGCTCCAGGGGAGCAGGATTGGGACGGGGTGGGCTGCCATTGATTGGCAGGTTGTTGGGCAGGTTTTCCAGGGCAAGAGCTGGAGCGTTCCAGGGGAGCCATGTGGCAGAGCTAGGTGCTGAGTGCAGAGCCTCGTGCCGGGTGCAGAGTCAGGTGCTGAGTGCAGAGGTGGGTGTGTCTGGTCTCCCGGCGAGGCAACTGGCCTTACAGTGACACCCTCTCCAAATTACTTCGTTAGTAGCCAATTGGAATATCAACAATATTTCACTTAGGTTATTGTATACTTAGCAACACAAAAATGAGTGACTTCAAAAGAAGACTCTCCAGCTCTCCAAGAAGCTAGTAGGATAGATATTAGGCCTTTACTAATTGTCCCAAGAGACATCTGCACTCCTAGTGTTTTATTTTTTAAGCTAGAAGATAGTATTGTAGTTCTGCTAGGTAATAAGTGCTATTTTCTTCAAACGCAGACTTTTGTATTGTGATAAACAGCAATTCACAGTAATTTCATCAATCATTTCTCACCTGTGGGTATATTGCATATAGCCTTCTTCCACACTTTTCACACATGAAACTATTCCCTGGATAGTGTCAATACACATTTTTCCCATTATTATATCCCTTAGGGTATTTTTTTTCAAATAACATTTTTTTTAAATAGAGGTAAGAGATAGGTCTCTTCCTATCTTATGAAATAAGTAGTTGACACTCTTTCCCCTAATTTCTTATCAATGACTCATTGTTTAATTCTTTAAATCTACTTCCTTGTTAGTTTAATTACTTCCTATCTAATAACAAGAATATTAGTTCTTTTCACTCTCTGCGTCAGTCAGAACAGGCTAGTGTATGCTGTAGTAAGAAACAGTCACACAATCTATGGTTTTAAAGAACTAAGAGATGTTTCTCAGTCATGCAACATGTCCTTTGTGGGTTGGCAGAAGAATCGAGTTCACATTACATGGCACCCTGTGCTTAGTCTCATGCTAATGAAGCAGCTGTTATCAAAACGTTTAGTCACCTAGCAGTGGAAACCAGAGGAGACAAGGGGAAGTTCTCACTGGCTATCAAAGCTTTCAATGGAAAATAACACAAGTCACTTCCAATCACATTTCATCAGCCTGAACAAGTCAGGGAAACAGTCTTTAATGCACCACAAAAAAGAGAGAGGGGGCTGGAATATTTATGGACAGTTCTAATAACTACCACATTTCCTATCATTTTTAACCTTTAACACTATTGCCAACCCAAACTTCTAAAAATGTCCTCTTTGTTTTCCACAACACAAAATACCAGTGGCCTCTTTTCCCCTAGCTCTGATTGTTTATCATAGTTTTCTCCAACTTCTTTTCTTTTTGCAATGACCTAAGTGTAGTTGATCCCTAAATTTCTATCTTTGTTCATTTTCCATTTTATCACTTTTCTCTGTCCTTGAGTGACCCTATTTGTGTCTGATTGTTACAAACACTCATCTATCTACTAATTCTTGAGTTATACATTTACCATACATTTGTTTTTAGTTTTACATGTGCTATGAGACATAAGGATGAATGAAATAAAATCTCTATAGGAATTTCACCAGTTACTTACAAAGGCAAAAATAAAACATGAAGTTCATTTTACTGAAACTGTTAGAATAAATGTGTGGTATGTGTGATAGAAAAGTTTGTAATTCCAGTGAATAGCCTTACGAATCTGAAATATGGAAATATTCAAGATTATTTTCATAAACTTAAGCTCAAAATATGAAAAATAATGACAAAGTCTCAAAACTTAAATGAAATTTTTTATTTCATTACTTTTGGGTAAAATTTGTTTCTTGAATGTTCTGCAGAGGAAAACTATCACAAAGAGGAAGTACTAAGGGGGCGGCCATAATTATTTAATACTGCTTGTAAGATTTACCTGGATGTGAAAATATTTCTAATCAGAAAATATGAAACTACAGATATCAAGATTTCGTTTTTTAAAAAAATATCTAACTTAATTAGAAAGTATAAGAACAAGGTCTGACTCCTTAGAGGTCAAACACTACCTCTATTCATCTCTGTGTTAAATAGAACACTACACACAGTATCTCAAAAATATTTATGGAATAAAATTTACCCACTATCTTCACAGAATTCACTTTTTTCATGCTACTTCTCATGTACAAGTTGAAAAGAAATTCCCTCTGGACTATTAAGAGGATTAATGACCATAATCAGTAAAGGCTCCTCGAAGAGACCTAGGTTAGTGATTTAGAGCTGCCGCTATTTATGAGCAAGACACTTACCTTGCTGTGGTTTGGTTTTCTAGCATTAAACTTCATGAGGAATCGATGATTTCAAGCAGGAATTGAATGCTGAAAGGATGAGTTTAGTAACATGTGATTTATTGTATCTTTAGATTCATGTGCGTTTGAGTTACTCAGTCTAACATCCTTAAACCCCTAACCTCCAAAGCCAAATCCTATATATATTATTTTGAGAGTGAGAAATGATGTACAGTTGTTACAGTCAGTATGTAGAGGTCAATCCACCCTATTCCTAGAAAAGTAGACATCTGAGTAAGTATGCAAATAAACAAGGTAAAAACAAATATTTTCCCTTAAAACGTGTATTAGGATTCTCTAGAGCAGCAGAACTAATAGGAGATATGTATATATATATATATACACACACACACACACATACATACACATACATACATACGTACACACACATATATATACACATACATACATACACATATATATATCTTGTATGAGTTAATCGTATGGGTTAATAGTACTTGATAAACTCCCATAAACATATAAACTCCCATATACATTGGAGTTTCTTAAGTAGTATTAACTCCCAACATCACAAGGTTCCACATTAGTCCATCTGCAAGCCTAGGAGCAAGGGAGTAGTCTGAGTCCCAAAGCTGAAGAACTAGAAGCCTAATGTTTGAGGCAGGAAGCATCCAGCATGGATGAAAGATGTAGGCTGGGAGGCTAGGCCAGTCTAGCCTTTCCATGTTTATCTGCCTGCTTTGTATCTGCTGGCAGCTGATTAGATGGTGCCCACCCAGATTAAAGGTGGGTCTGCCTCCCCCAGCCCACTGACTCAAATGTTCATCTTCTTTGGCAGCACTCTCACAGACACACCCAGAATCAATACTTTGCATCCTTCACTCCAATCAAGTTGACACTCAGTATTGACCATCACAAAACCCATATCAATCACTGGCATTTCCTAAATTCAACATAATGTGGAGGAGGGAAAGAGGTAAGTAAGAGAGAATGAACCATGTTTGGACTTCTTTCTATTTCAGGACATGCAGAGTCTCTGAAATGTATATTTTCATAAAGTCAAGATCAGCTAACTGTAAACATACCATCCCTTTACATTTTTGGACAAACCCTTTATATGACAGGTATTCGTTAAGATCATATGCATTATTAAGGAGGCCATATTCAAGCACCATCTGCACTTTAAAGAAAAAAATTTCACTTAATATACATTAAGTGAAAACAGATGATCCTTGAGGGTATAAACCTGTAAAGTCACAATCAGTCTCAAACATACCTGTAAATAAATGCCCACATACTAATTTTGAGGTTAAAAACACATGTTTCGTACTTGGAAAAAACTCCAGACCTTGCATTTGTAGCAGAGACGTGAAATAACTCTGGAGTAAAAAGGCGTCTTAGTTGTATGTTACACGTCAGTCTTTGCAAATGTTCTCACTGGAAGCATTCACTATAATATTCTTTGTTGATGAAGCCAAAGACCTAATTGTTTATTAATCAAATGCTCTATCATAATGTTGCTCTACTAATTCATGTTGGCGTGTGTGTGTGTGTGTGTGTGTGTGTGTGTGTGTGTATTTATTTATTTATTTTGAGACAGAGTTTCACTCTTGTCACCCAGACTGGAGTGCAGTGGTGCAATCTCGGCTCACTGCAACCTCCACCTCCCTGGTTCAAGGAATTCTCCTGCCTCGGCCTCCTGGGTAGCTGAGATTACAGGTGCGTGCCACCATGCCCAGCTAACTGTTGTATTTTTAGTAAACATGGGGTTTCACCATAATAGCCAGGCTGGTCTTAAACTCCTGACCTGGGGGTGATCCACCCGTGTCGACCTTCCAAAGTACTGGGAGGCATTTATTTAATACACTAAACTCTGGAATAATATTTTCTTTTGTAGGACAAAAGTTTATCTTTTTAGAGATAAGTTCAATTTGTTCTTTACTTTTGTGGTCATTTTGGATGAAGAAAAGATGAGTGTCTTACATTACAAATTTGAGTAGAATTCCTTAGGGAATGAAAGTCAAATGTAGCTTTTTTTTCAAGCTATGTCGTTTTCATAATGTGCTTTGCACAATAATACATTCCACTCGACAGCTTATAATTAAATAATTTTTAAATTTGGGTTTTAGTTCCCTCCTTGGCTCTGAGAACAGTGTGATTTCTTTTTCTTGCAGAATGAGTCTTTCCATTCAATCTGTTTGAGTTTGGGACGCTGACTTCTCAGCTTATTGTTTCTAAGGAAATGTGCAGGAAACGTCACATATCAGCTTGTGAGTTAAAATAATGAATGGACGTTTGAAATGAGTAAGAATGAGTCTTACCCTCTGTCCCACCTAGGCCACGTGTTTGCCTTGTGCCTCATTTCCCACAACTGGACGCTCCCAGCTGAATAATCATATCCCAACATGCTGAGCTAATTGAAGAAAGGTGCTATATAAACACAAGGTACCATTATTATGGTCATTTTCCCAGACCTTGGGCTTCCCCACCCACTTCCTCTAAATTTACAATGAAATAAAAAAACGTAGCCTCCCAGTGGATGCAGATTTAAGAGCAAGGCCTTTGGCGCCCTCTAGTGGTCTCTTCTATGTAGCAATCACTTGGGTGGTGGAGGCTTAGTTGAAGACAAATTCCCTTCAACAAGCCAGTTTAGAGAGGAAAAGATATGTGGTAGAAGTACATAGTCCTTTACGTTAATATTTTTTAAACAAAGTGATTTCCATGTATATAAATGTCAGGCAGTCTTTATTTAAAAATAACATCAGCATCTCTTCTGAATGGGAAAGGTACAAGAAATACTTTTCTTGATAACCTCGTCACTCAACAAGTTGCTGCTTTGGCAGATTTTTCTATCCTAAAACTAATATACGTTATGGATACTCGAGAGTATGTGGGAGTACTTAGCAGCCAGGACCGCTAGTAATCAGCCAGTACTTTATAAATGCTTCTTGAATCTCTGTCTTGTCTCAAATCCGCCACTGTCTAGTTGGGTGAGGTCAGATAAACTACTTGTCCTAGCTGATCTATTTCTTCATCCCTAAAAAGAAAGCACTGAAACAAACTGGTTTTTAAAATTATTAATTGGTTTAATTAGCTGAGCCCCTTATTATGGATGAAACATTCCACAGAATGCAAAAATACGATGAAGGACGGTGGAACCATTCCAGCTTAGGCTGTGTCAAGGAAGCTGAGCTCGGCCTTCTTAGGTCATTTCCCCCAAAGTCTCTTTCGAACCCTGATACAACCCTAGAGCTCCATGGGACAGAGTTCAAAATCATTTTTACTAGTCACCTCTATTGTTTATTTAAACTCTAATTTTAAAAAATGCCTTAACATACTTATTAGTTTGCTAATAGGTATTTTAGTGTTTACCTTTTCTATTGGTAAGTATTTTTTCCATTTCAGTCATTAGTGTGTACACAGAGGAAAACTGAGGTTAAACAAAATGCATTCCCAAGCCTCCTGTGTATTCTCCTCTTGTTTTTAACACTATGAGTCTCTACAAATACTTCTATTTAATCGCACATACTTTTGAGTATCAGATAGTCAACTTGATGCTGGATTTTAGCAGGATAAAGAAGCTGATTGAAGTATAATCCAGTGAACAGAATTTTGAAGGCTATAAGGTACTATCACATTATATAACTGGATAATACCAAATGTGTATTATGAATGTGCCATTTATGTGACACAGCAGTCTAAATTTTATTGCCGTTCAGAGAAAAGGGAGAGCAGTATGTTGTGCAGGAATCAAAAGACAAAGTGAGATGAGTTTAGTGTGTAAGAACGAGTGACTTTGGATACGTAAAAGGATTAGAGGCTGATTTAAAAAGTCTTGATCAAAGTTCGGGCAGGACTGAATGTGCAGAGCCTACCTCTGTGAGGCCACTGGTATGCAGGGGAACCCCAGGCTTTAAAATCAAGGGTTCTATTGCTTGACCTTGGCTCTAATTTCTGTCAACGCGAGAATGTCCATGAGACAACAACAGTATGTGACACTAAATATCATTAATCTAGTTTCCTCCCTTAAAGGGTGATACAAAGAAGAAAAATTACCTACTGTTCTTACATATGTGTACTTTTTCTTTTACTTTTTAAAAAAATTGTACTTTAGGTTCTGGAGTACATGTGCAGATCTTGCGGGATTGTTGCACAGGTACACACATGCCATGGTGGTTTGCTGTCTCCATCCCCTACATCAGGCATTTCTCCCAATGTTATCCCTCCCTAACATACCCACTCCCGACAGACCCCAGTGTGTGATGTTCCCCTCCCTGTGCCCATGTGTTCCCATTGTTCAACGTCACCTATGAGTGAGAACAGGCAATGTTTGATTTTCTGTTCTTGTGTCAGTTTGCTGACAATGATGATTTCCAGATTGATCCATGTCCCTACAAAGGACATGAACTCATCCTTTTTTATGGCTGCATATTATTCCATGGTGTTTATGTGCTTCAATTTCCTTGTCCAGTTTATCATCAATGGGCACTTGGGTTGGTTACAGATCTTTGCTATTGTAAAAAGTGCTGCTAAGAACATATGTGTGCATATGTCTTTATAATAGAATGATTTATAATCCTTTGGGTAATACCCACTAATGGGATTGCTGGGTCAAATGGAATTTCTATTTCTAGGTCCCTGAGGAATGGCCACACTGTCTTCCACAATGGATGAACTAGTTTACACTCCCACCAACAGTATAAAGGTGTTCCTGTTTCTCCACATCCTCTCCAGCATCTGTTGTCTCCAGATTTTTTAATGATCATCATACTAACAGGCTTGAAATGGTATCTTGATGTGGTTTTGATTTGCATTTCTCTAATGACCAGTGATGATGAGCATTTTTTCATGTTTGTTGGCTGCATAAATGTCTTCTTTTGAAAAGTGTCTATTCATATCTTTCACCCACCTTTGATTGGCTTTGTTTTTTTCTTGTAAATCTACTTTAGTTCTTTGTAGATTCTGGATATTAGCCCTTTGTCAGATGGGTAGATTGCAAAAATGTTTTCCCATTCTGTTGGTTGCTGGTTCACTCTGATGATTATTTCTTTTGCTGTGCAGAAGCTCTT